CCCTTTAAGCACAGCCCTCGGCTAGCCTGAGACAGCATCTCCACGCTCTAAGTCCTCCTCTGATGCCCTGCCAGCACTGCTTCCGGCCATCCTTAACCCCGGTTCAGGGTCCACTCTGTGTGGACATGCTAGTTCGAATTAGCAAAATGCTAATTCGAACTAGTTTTTTAGTCTGGATGCGTTAGTTCGAATTAGCGCTGTAGTGTAGACATACCCTATGAATATTGAAAGGCCTTGTCACTTCCAAAAATTGAGTGATTATAAAATATATGTAGCATCTTAATATGCTTGATCTTTAGAGTTCATACCAAGAAATCAGATTTGACTAGATAGGTCTTTAAATTGCAATAATTTTTCACACAATAAAAAAACCCCAACAAAATCTAGGTCTGCATTTCTCTGAAGCAATAAATCTTCTTTTCCATTTCAGTCTCCAGACATGCAAGTTAACACTCATTATGCAAAATTAAAGTGTCATATTTTTAGCTCCTGTGTTATTCACACCTCACTCAGAATATCTCATATAGAAAGATTTATAGTAAAAATCCTAATCCTTTTTGGTTTAATTCTGCAAAAAATATAGTTTTCATGTTTGTTACCATTATACCATTACCACAAGGACACTGAGGACAAAAATTCATGATCCTATCCACCTGAAAGCAGCCTCCACTGCTTTCAGTCTGACAGAGAGCCTGTGGTTCTCCCGATTGATACCGTTGAGAAGGCTGCACTTCTGAGTTTAATAGACACTTCGTTATGTAACTGCCAATGCCTACCCTTTTAAGTAGCATAGAGTCTGTCACAGACTGTGCCCAGTCTATTATCATGCCTAGTAAACTGGCTCATAGGAAACATGCTGGGGGAATTCACTTTGCATTCTTCATCTGAATAACCATCCAAGAGGATAGATATGAATCTATTAATATCAAAGCAAACAGATATTCTCAGTACTGTAACTCCTTTCCCAACTCAGGTCCTATTAGGGTTGCTTACTGCCTAATTGCACAAACTCAAAGAGCTACTCCTGCCTCTCCTGCCTCCTCTTTGAGGCTGTGCCCCTGTCCTGTCATTTCTCTGAGGCACTGGATCCCCATTCACTCCACCCCCTTCCTCCATCTCTTGCTCTCCCCCCACCCTCACTCATTTTCACCAGGCTGGACCAGAAGGTTGGTATATGACAGGGATTGTGGAGTGCAGGCTCTAGGACGAAGTTTGGGTGCAAGAGGGGTGGAAGTCGGACCCTTGGCAGGAGTTTGGATGCAAGGAGAGATGGGGGCTGGGCTCTGGGAGGGAGCCTGGGTGTATTCTCTGGGCTGGGGCGTAGGATTGGATGCAAGGTGCGAGCATGGGGTACAGGCTCTAGGAGGACGTTAGGGTGCAGGTTGTGGTCACTAGGTTGGGGCAGGGTATTGGGGTGCAGGAGGGAGTCAGGTTGGCTGTGGAAGGGAGTTTGTATGACAAGTGTAGGCTGGGGTAGGGGTTGGGAGTGGGAAGAGGTGAGGGCGGCTCTTATCTTGGGCAGCTCTTAAAAACAGCCAGCTCTCTCACAGTGGCACATAAGTGCAGCCAGGGGGTCTTTGTGTGCTACTGCCTACAGGCCCCGCTCCCACATCTCCTACTGACTGCAGTTCCTGGCCAATGGGAGCTGCAGAGCCAGCACTCAAGGAGGGGGCAGTGCACAGACACACGCTGTCCTCCCAGGAGTGGTACGGAGTCAGGGAAGGTGAGGGAGCCTCTGCTGCCGTGCTGGACTTTTAGCACTCAAAATCTCCCAGTTTGGCTGAAGTAGCCCTCAGAAGTTAGTGTGTGATTCTAGGAGACTCCAGATGAAAGCAGAAGGGTGGGCAACCCTAGGTCACATCTCCACACCCCTGGAAGGAGGCCTTCCATTTTCCAGAAGCTTGATGTATCTTCTACCTCAGTTTGTAAACTTTCCCCCACACACAACCTCTCAATTTTTCTCTTCTATCCTTAAAGAGAAGTCTGCAGGGCCCTAGCTGCATCTGTGCTACCTCACATTGTCATTTAACTATTCAGATCACATCATGCATTAGAGCATACAGAAATTCAATGTAGAGATACTTGGGCCTAGTCACAAATCAAAGAAAAACTTAGGATTATCTCATAAGAATGGTCTTAGAAGAAGAGCTTTCTAAATCTGTGTTCTAATTTGGGAGCTGTAGAGCTCGATTCTTTTCAATATCAGATGATATAATTACTATAGAAAATAACTCTGTAATGTTTGGCCATATATACAAGCTAATGTACATTAGTAAAATAACTATTTATTCAATGCTCTGTAATACAGTGTTGCTTAGTGATTATTGTATTAATCTTCTATTATATCCAAGGAAGCTTCCTTCAGTATTCTACCATTTCTGTCATCTTTCTCATGTTGTTCTCCATGCCTTCATGTCTATCCTGGCATGATTTTTCTTTACAAATGGTAATAGGCTCTTGGCTTGGCTTCTAACTGGGTTTTTAGAAAGTCTAGTCACCTTTTTGTTTCATTTAATAGAGACATATTGGACAAATTTTTTTAAAAGT